CTGTTACTCTTCAGATCTAATGTGATCTACACATCTCATTGCTGGACCAATTTGCTTCTCAGATAGCTCTGGTTTAGGTACTAAGCTAGAAGAAGCTGTAGGAACCATTTTGCTTTTTCAGTTTTTATTCTGCGTACATTGCAAGACAAGTCTGCCTCTCTACTACATAGAAGCGAAGATCCTACGCTTACTTTAAAACGTCACTTGAAAAGAAGCAGTGCAGTGAACATCGTCCGGCCTCCGTCGCCCAGCCGCCTTGCCCTGAAGGGGGGCGCCCTGGGCCCCTCTCCGCCGGCGCGTGGTGGCCGGCAGGGTGTCGTGTCAGACCTGCGCCGGCGGCTGCGCGGGTGTTTGCACACCAGACAGAGACGAGCTTCTCGTCTCACTCCATCCCCTCCTCGAAGAGGAGCCCTCTCCATCCTGGTAGGCTCTTCGTTTTTACCTGCGGTTGGGATCACAAGCTGGCCTCCTTGTGTCCCTGTTTTGGGACGACCCAGGACAATCTCTTGAGTCTAAGGCAAATGATTATATTTTTTTCTATTGCGTTCCTTCTGAAGCGAGCGTCCGAGTGCTGACGGGGCTGGGAATAACCTTATTATCCTAGGATCCCCCCGCTGCCTGGGAGACCTCTTCTTCAGAACCCAGGGAAGCAGTCTGGCTTCTTCTGTTCTCAGCTTCTCTCAGCTGCATCACCTCGTTCATCAGGTCAGCAAACTGTCTCTCCTGCAGAGGAGAACACGGCTGTACATGTGGTGCGTGGCAGATCCTGCCCCCAGTCAGAGAGCGTGTCTGGGTCGGGCCTGCCGCTCAGTCGGCTGATGCTTTGATCTGGAGTGGCTTAGCCTGTGCACGTTTTACAGCTGTGCGTGTGTGAAGCTCTTTATCGAGGGGACAGCAGCGTCGACCCACCCCGATAATAGTTGAGTGATGTAATTTAATCGGCAGGCTTTTCACACTGAGCAACAGCAACGGCGTTTTTCACACGATCGCGCTCTGAAATGTAAACCTGTTTCGAGTATCGCTCCCTGCACAGAATTCGGGGGGCGATGTGTAACATCAGTCACACTGGAATACCCCACCTTGGTGTGTCACCCCCACCCCAAAATGGGATGTTAGACTCCATTGTCCATCCAGTCCTAATCCTGCCGGCCAGAACCCTTCGACCCAAAACTGTTCCTTTCCTACTAATTGCTTCCCTTTAATTCACCCAGTATATTTTACTGGCCCTGTTAATCAGCCAAGCAGCCAGTTAGCCAGTGGCGTTGGGGAAAAAGCTGGGGAGGACTGGCCAGTTATCAGCCCTGTGGGATTGCACACCCCTTCAGCACCAGAGCGCTGGGCTCTTGCATAGCGGTGCCTGTACATTCACTCACACACACACCCCTCCCCCATCCTCGCTCTTACCAGCATATCCATCCTCTCGGCTGCAGCCATGGCAACACTCAGCTTCGTCTGGTCCTCCTCCCTCTCTTCCTCTATCACTCCCAGCCTGCCGAGAAAGAGAGGAGAGGGAGGCAGTCGAATGATCAGTCGATGAGCCCATTCCTTACAGACAAGTCTCTTCAACCCTGGACGGGCAGGGGGTAGGTGAATTGGCACACTGGTGAGGCTTGTGGCTTCTTGTCGATCCCGAGCCGGCTGGCCTCACATGCTTGGTGGTTTATTTCAACAGTTGGTCTGGTCCGTAGCCCCCACTCCTCACCTGAAGGTGGCGCTGGCGAGCTCCTCCTCTTTGGTGGCCAACTGGGCCTTCAGCTCCTGCACCTCTGTCTGCAGCAGTGCATTCTGGTCCTGGCTCTGGGCGATGAAGTCCTCCAGCCTCTTGGCCAGCTCCAGGTCCCGCTCTGTCACCAAGTCCACATTCTGCCTGAGCTCCGAGATCTCCTGGTCGTGCTGCGAGAGAGAGAACAGCGTCCTGAATCTGGAGGGTCCTGTCCTGTCCAGGACCCTCTTTCCTCTAATCATCGCTCTGACAGTCGCAGAACGAAGAGGCTGGGCTGGAGTCCAGACTCCTCCAGCCGAGGATCGGGCTCTGGCTCTTCTGGGTGCCTGTGCGAAGAACCGAGCTGCTTGGTCTGGTTGGGGGGGGGACTACTCACCTTCTCTAGCAGGCTGAATTCTTCATGCTCAGTCTTCTCCAGAGAAGACTCCTTGTTGTCTTTGATCCAGGGGACTGGGGCTGGGTGGATTTTTCCTCTCACATCCTTCTGGGGGGGGGGACAGGAGAAAAAAACAACAGATTCAGCCAGAGGAAGACAGAAGGTAAAATGTTTCCTTTCTGAGATGTACACTCCCTAGCCAAGATATTGGTAACGTGTCGTATTTCGAACCCGTGTCCTGTTCCACCTGTGCACACAGGTGCCCCACCTCATTCTTTTCTTCCTAATGGTGTGGTATGTTATTGCTGTCCGTCTCGGGTAAGGAAAGAGGCCGGTACTGAAGAATCGGTGTTCAGTGTCTGCATGCGCACGTTCATCATCCAGCATAGGGTGGTGGGGGAGCCGGAGCCTATCCCAGCATGCAGTGGGCACAAGGTGAGGTACACTCCTGACAAGGCTCCAGTCCTTCACAGGACACACGGGGACACACTCCCGCCTGGGCCGGTTTTCCCAGAAGCCAATTAACCCCCCCCCCAGTTATGTTTCTGGATTGTGGGAGGACACTGAGCACCTGGAATCTGGAGCAAACCAATGTGAAGGGGGGAGAAAATACAGACTCCACACACACAGTGCCCCAGGTCTGGAAATGAGCCCAGGTTCAGTCATAGGGGTTAAAGTACCAGGACTGTTCATGGTGATGGAAGTTACATCATAATTGCTTATGCTTATCTTTGTGGACAGTCCACTCAAAGCTCTTTACAGGTAGTGTGAACTGCCCTCCACCACCACCAGTGTGCAGCCCCACCTGGATGATGCACCAGAATGCTCACCACACACCGCTAGCAGTGGGGAGGAGAACTGAGTGATGAAGCCAGTCCAGACATGGGGGTTATTAGGAGGCCAGTGGGGGAGATTTAGGCAGGACCTTGGGGTAACACCCCTACTCTTTTTGAGAAACACCCTGGGATCTTTAATAGTGTCCTTCCTCATCATTTGGCAGTAAGGCCAACATTAAGACCATAGGGTGAGCGCCCCCTACTGGCTCCACTAACACCTCTTCCAGCAGCAACCTTAGTTTTTCCCAGGAGGTCTCCCATCCAGGCCCTGGCCAGGCTCACACAACTGCTGAGCTCCAGCCGGCTGCCAGCTGTGAGCTGCAGGGTGACAGAGCTAGTGGCTACATCCAGTAAAATGGATGGATACCAGTTACCCCTTTCCTGATCAAAGGGTGGGCGGGTTCTCCCTACTTTCTCGGGTTCGGAGATCTGGAAGGGTCGCGGGGGGTCCCGGTCCACGTCCATCTCGGGGGACAGGTTCTCGGTGCTGGCCTGCCGGAGGGGGGCGCGCCGCTGGTGCTTGATGCGGTCCGGCACGCTCTGGGTCCGCTGCACGCGCTTCCTGCTGGGCCCCGCGGCCCGGCCGCGCCCCCGGCCCTCCTCCAGGTGCAGCAGGGAGGCGTGCAGGGGGCTGTGGCTGCTCAGCTCGCGGGGGGGCACGTAGGTGGGCTTGCTGTGCTCCGTGATGAGGCTGTGGGGGGAACAGGCAGGGTTAGAAGAGGGCCCCCCCTTCCCAGGGCTACGCCACACCCCGACTCCCATCTCCCGAGATCCGCAAAGTCCCCACACCCTGCCACCCGGGGTGGGGGGGTATCCCCAGGGCTGTGTATTTCCTTCCCTTTAACGAAGAACAAGGACCAGGGGTAGTCGCACCTCGGAGCCCAACACCATGCGGGGCTCGGAATCAAAGTGAAGAGCATGCCGAGGCTCGGGGATTCCCCGAAAGGATCAGACCCCCCCGGGCGCTCACTCAGGGAAACAGGAGAGAGAGACCCGTTCAATTTCTGGGCTCTCACTGAGCCCCCCTGACTCACTGGTGCGTACGATACCAGGTCACTACTCACGAGTCTTAAAGAGGATTGTGCCCTTTTTGCATTTAATTGGCTGCATCAGCTGAGGAATGAAAGTGTTCACTGGCCTGACAGGATCAGTATTAAGCCTGACTTCAAACACGCTGTCCGCAGTGTGGCTGGAGCCCAACTGCTCTGCTCAGCAGCGCCTCCTGCTGCGGTGAGCGGGAGACGCTCCGCTCCTCCAGTCGGCACTGTCCCACAAGGTCAAGCGGGTGGCGTTGCTCTCGCTGTGCCGATTCGCATTCGAGAGGCGCCGAAGCCTTTGCAGAGCGATCGGCAATCCCAGGTGAAAAACGGCGCCAGTTCATGGCCAGGACGACTCTCACCTGCTGACCGCAATGCGGGAGGCGGATGGCCCCAGCGCGTCGGCCACGGCGTTCAGGATGGAGGGCAGGGGGTGCAGCCCGTCTATGGTGTGCTGTGGGAGGAGGAGGGGAGAGGCGTCACTGCAGGGGGAAGAGGCGGTGCAGATTCACGCGGGTGTGCATGCCCGCCCCGGCCCCGCCCCCGGCCCCGCCCCCTCGACTGCTCCGCCCCCTCACCTGCTCCATGGGCGCGATGATGTCGGTGAGCAGCCCGTGCAGCACGCACAGGCGCAGGGGCAGGTCCACGTAGCCGTCGAACCTCGCCATGTCCACCTCACTGTCCGGGTTCGAGATGGCGCCCAGGAACACGCCCATTCTCTCCCAGTGCTGCTCCAGGAAGTCGTTCATGAACAGCATGTACTCCTCCTTGTCGCCGAACCTGCGGGGGAGAGAGATTGGTGAGTGTGTCACGTGTGCCCGCCCCTCCGGGCGCTGGAAGTGGGCGGTGGTCAACAGGCAGTGGGCACCAGCGGCGCCGTCAGACTCACGGGGTGAAGTTGGCGAGGTTCTGGATGACCTTGGCGGTGAGGGTGAGGGCGCGCAACGGGCCGGGGTCGGGGTACGCCTGCGTCAGCCCGAACAGGCTGGGGCTCATGATGGCCGGGCACAGGAAGCGCAGGAAGAGGGAGGCGCTGATCAGGCGTTGGGCGATCTCGCCACGCCCCTGCACCTCGCACTCCTCGCGCCACGCTGAGAAAATCTCGTTCAGCTCCACCGGGAACGAGCTGTGGAGCAGAGAGGGACACACTCTGCTGATCGGTTTTAGCAGATTCATTCCGTACAGTGAATTATCATCACTCTTTCACTCTTTCACTCTTTCATTTCCATTCAAATGGAAATTCCAAGAAACGTCCTGTTTATACAGAGAGAGACTCAGCTCAGAACTCCTTCCACCACAAGGCCCTGCTGAGCCCAGAGGAGAGCCCCCAGAGTCAGCTGGTTCTGAAGCTCACTGACACCAACCTGCCTCAGGACAGCACAGCTCAAACAACACAGATCAGTGTCTCACCCTGTCTCTCTCCCACACCTGTCTATCTCTCCCCCATGTCTCTCCAAACTGTCTCTCTCTCACCCATGTCTGTCTCTCACCTGTAGGTCTCTGTGATTCTCTGGAAGGCCTCCTCACAGCCCTCTCTCAGGTTCTTTTGATTGCTCTGCAGTTCGGAGGGGGAGCACTTCTGGGGGTCCACCTCCCAGTTGTTCCCTGAGCCATACAGGTGCGCTATGAACTCCCCTGTGGGCAGAGAGACAGTGGTTCAGTCCTCGTGGGAAGCCGGGCAGTGGAGGGGGCAGATGCAGTTACAGAGCCGGGCGCAGGGCCGTACCCAGGGTGTCGATGAGGTATTTCTGGCCCACCAGTTTCATGTACTCGTCGATGGCCTTGGTGGCCAGGGTGTTCTCTCTGAAGATCAGAGCCTCCTTCTCTCCACAGCGCTGCAGCTCTGCTGCCCCCAGGGCTGTCAGGAACTCCTGCAGGTGCACACAGCCCGTCAGTGCCCGCTCACAACACCCTGCACACTCACTACACACTCACTGCCCACTCAGTGTCCATTCACTACCAACACCCTGTACAATCACTGCACAATCACTCACAATGCCCTGCACACACATTGCACAATCACTGCCCACTCACAACACCATACACAAACTCTGCACACTCGCTGCCAATACCCACACCTGCAGCACATTCGTTGCACACTCACAACACACTGCACACTCTGCACAATCACTGCCCACTCACAGCCAACACCCTGCACACTCGCTGCACACTCACTGCACACTCACTCACAACACCCTGCGCCCTCTCTCCCCCTCACCTTGGCTTTCCCGATGCTCTGCAGGACGTGCACCAGCGCTCCGGCCAGCTCCTCCTTCTCCCGCACGGACAGCAGCGGCTCCAGGCCGGTGCACAGCTCCACGTGGTGGAAGGTGATGTACTCGGCGAACTCCTTGTACCGCTCGATGGGCAGCACGTGCAGGTTCTGGTACCGGGCCTTGATCCGGACCGAGGCCTGGGCCCCCAGCTGGGCGCCGGAGGAGCCGCCGCCGCCCTTCTCCCTGCTGGGACAGGGCAGGATGGGATACCAGCGCTCCTGGAAGGCGCGGCCGGTGATGTCGGAGAGGGGGAGGCCCACGCTGCCCAGCGGGCAGAGGACGTCGTCCTTGGCGCTGCTCTTCTTCTTGCTGTCCTCCTCCCGGAAGAGGTGCAGGGTGAGCTGGGAGACGGGGGGCAGGTTGTCCAGCTCGAAGAGCTCGCCCCAGAAGAGCTGCCCGCCCCCGCCTCCTCCGCCGGCGCCCCCCACGCCCCCTCCCCCGGCGCCATCCGTGCGCTTGGCGCTGCTGCGGCTAGTGGTGCGGGCGTACAGCGTGCCGTCCAGGTGCAGCTCACAGTAGTAGCGCTTCTTGGCCGGCAGGTCCTTGGCCTCGTTGACCCAGAGGCTGAGGGCGTTCTCGGTGCGTGCGCAGTTATCCTGTCGGGCAGACCGGGAGAGAGAAGAGAGGGGTGAGGGATAAGGAGAGGGGAATGGAAGGGAGGGGAGGAGGGCACGGGCCAGCTCTCACCTTGTTGGGCTGGGCGGCTCGGCGCAGATTCTCGATCCAGCGGTCCCGCTCTGCGGCCGAGCTGCAGCCGAAACAGTGACTGCCCTCCGAGTTTATCACCTGCAGAAAGAAGGCATCATCAGCATGGCACG